TTCTTTTCTTTTCTTTTCTTTTCTATTCTTTTCTTTTCTTTTCTTTTCTTTTCTTTTCTTTTTTGAGACAGAGTCTCACTCTGTCACCCAGACTGGAGTGCAGTGGCACGATCTCAGCTCTCTGCAACCTCCACCTCCCGGGTTCAAGTAATTCTCCTGTCTCGGCCTCTTGAGTAGCAGTGTCACCACACCTGGCTAAGTTTTGTATTTTTAGTAGAGATGGGGTTTTGCCATGTTTGCCAGGCTGGTCTCAAACTCCTGACCTCAGGTGATCCACCTGCCTCGGCCTCCCAAAGTGCTGGAATTATAGGCATGAGTCACCATGCCTGGCCAGATTTTACCTTTCTTGAAGATAAAAATTTTACTCTGAAATTCTTGGTCTGTCTTCTTTCTGTTTGCTTCCCAGTGAAGTTCGATATTATATATTTTGACTTTCTTTGGGCCTCTCTTTGTCCTCATTCAGTCTAAAACCCTTGGACCATTCCTTTAATCATTTGTTCACTGACATAGTCCGGTCTCTTGCTCCCTGATTTTTACTGAACCTAATTCAATTTACCCAGCCTCAACCTAATCATTTGACATCTTGCTACTGTACCTGGGCTGCTGACCACTGCTAAGTAAAACTTGACAACCGTGGGAATTACACTTCTATAAATCGTAGCCTCTAGTTTGGCCCTCAAGACAGCATAGCAATCCTTTCTCTTTTTTTCCTCCTGAGCAGTTCTCCCCTGTGTGGCTATTTTTCACTTTCACCCCATCTTTAAACTTCTTCCCTGCCACCTATCCTCTTAGTCTCAGAAGATGATCTTGGCCCCTGTTTTACGGGGGCCATCAGGCAGGAACTCATAAACTTCCATCTTTATTACCACCCCCATCACTACCTACAAATTTTCTTTTAGCCTATGTCACTTGCTAGCTATTTTTCTACCGTTTCTCCTTAACTTTGCCACTAGGCTGCTTGAAAGAGTAGTGCCTCCTTCTTTACCCTTCTGTTGTCTGCCTTCCATCCAAATGTTACCATCCAAACGTTTGCAGAGTTACCAGTGACCTAACTGGTAATGCCTGTGAGACATTTTTCACCCTTTACCTTGTTTGGTTTCTCCATGGCATTTTATCTTTATTGAGCATTTTCTTCAACTTTTATGAAAACCTCTGTCTTTGAATCTTATCCCACTTTACCAGAAAAACAAGAAGCATTTAATGATTTACAAAATAATAATTGATATGAACGCTTATAGCCCAATATTAATTATACTTTTAAGAACTGAATTATACTTTTATATAAATACAATTCAGTATGATACTTCAAAAATAAGAAATACTGTAATCCCAGCACTTTGGGAGTCCTAGGTGGGCAGATCACAAGGTCAGAAGTTTGAGACCATCCAAGTTAACATGGTGAAACAACATCTCTACTAAAAATACAAAAAATTAGCCGGGCGTGGTGGCACACTCCTATAGTCCCAGCTACTCAGAAGGCTGAGACAGGAGAATCACTTGAACCTGGGAGATGGAGGTTGCAGTGAGCTGAGATCACCCCACTGCACTCCAGCCTGGGCGACAGAGTGAGACTCCATCTCAAAAAAAAATGCTTATTTCTTAAGATGCTTAACTCTAGTAATCTTTTATTGTGCATAAATATCAAAACTTTACATATACAATAAAAGGATAAGAAATATATACTAACTATTCCTTGGTTTCTTCTGTCCTAGTTAATGAAGGAGTTCCCTCTTCTGAGCATGTTCAATATCCACGAGAACCTTTTAGAAGCCCTTCTGGAACTACAAGCATATGCTGATGTTCAGGCAGTCTTAGCAAAGTATGATGGTAAGTCCTTGGTTATTTTTATTTACTTGACTATTCCTCTTTCAATGTATTTTCCCTGATTAGATTGGAAGGGTCATTGTAAATAGCACAGCACTTTGGTAACCATACTCTTAGAGAATTTTCACCTACAGTTTTATGATGATGTTTGGCAGAATCTTAGATTTTCATGGTTAGCAAGGGCCAGAAATGTGACATGGCATGTGTCCCGTTTCTCTCCTTCCTTCCCTACAGACTCCCCTCATGCTCGCCCCATCAGGCATTTATGTCTACTCTGCTGTATTACCTCTGTGGTCATCAATTACCCAGAACCCCACAGGCAGTACCTATCCTGTTGGGGCAGCACTGACTCTTAGAGCTCTTGTAATAACTCCACATTGGTTCACTGTGACCACTGCCTATTGCTCATATTGATCCTTTGGAGCAATGTAGAACAGCTAGTATCCCTTGCACATGTGACAACTCAGTAAATGTTGGAAGATGAAATTATGTCCCCTTCATCCTAGTTCCTCTCATTAGCAGCAGAATATCCTCATTCTTTTTTTTTAATGGCAGGCTTTGAAGTCCGTTTACCATTCTGGTTACTCACTCATGAACTTATGCCATTTTGCCTGTTCCTAAGAAATCAGAAAAAGAAATTGCTACATCCTAGATATTTAAACACCCTAATGCTCATATTGTTGTTATCCATGAATTCATTATTTGATTAACTGGACAAAAATTGTCCACATAATTACCTGCCATGACATAGTTTCTAAAATCTCTGCAGAACTTCCTACTATTCTGCCTTATTTCAATAACCATCTTCCTAAAGTGTTTGCTTGTAAAAATGGATATAAGGAGTGACTACACATTATATAATCATTTTTTACTCTATGAAGTATTTTTTCTTTAGTAAGCATCTTCAGTGCATTTAAAGAATTATTCAGGCTGGGCATGGTGGCTCACTCCTGTAGTTCCAGCACTTTGGGAGGCTGAAGCAGGTGGATCACTTGAGGTCAGGAGTTCGAGACCAGCTTGCCCAACATGGTGAAACCCCATCTCTACCAAAAATACAAAAATTAGCTGAGCATGGTGGCACATACCTGTAATCCCAGCTACTTGGGAGGTTGAGATAAGAGAATTGCGTGAGCCTGGAAGGTGGAGGTTGCAGTGAGCTGAGATTGCACCACTGCACTCCAGTCTGGGTGACAGAGCAAGACTCTGTCTCAAAAAAAAAAAAAAAAAAAGAGAATTATTCAGATCACAGAGCATATAGAGCAAACTATACCATTTGGGGTTTTGGTTTTTTTAGGGATAGGGTCTTCCTCTGTCACCCCAGAAGGAATATAGTGGTGTGATCATAGTTCACTATAACCTTGAACTCTTGGGCTCTAGCCATCCTCCCACCTCAGTCTCCCAAGGACTACAGGAGTGTGCCATCATGCCTGGATAATTTTTAATTTTTTTGTAGAGACGGGTTATCATTACGTTACCCAGGCTGGTCTCAAACTCCTGGCATCAAGTGAACCTTGGCCTCCCAAAGCACTGGGAGTACAGGCATGAGCCACCACACCTGGCTGTTGGGTCTCATTTTTGACACAGTTCTTCATAAGGAATCTCTGAAATGGGTGAGAGTTGTTACCTTCTATAGTTGGGGGAACTTAGCCATTATGAGATTGTTTTTGTTTTTGTTTTTGTTTCCTTTTCTTCAAAATCTTGCTCAAATTTATGGAAACTAAAAGCCTTCAGCCAATGATGGCATCATTTTGCCTGTGCAGACATAAGTACCCTGTGTAACAAGATATATGCCACCTAGTATGGAACTGATTTTAGAAATAAAGAAAAGTATAAGTACCCTGTGTAACAAGATATATGCTACCTAGTATGGAACTGATTTTAGAAATAGAGAAAAGTATAAGTACCCTGTGTAACAAGATATATGCCACCTAGTATGGAACTGATTTTAGAAATAGAGAAAAGTATCTGTGGAACACTTTAAAGTAAACAAAATAAAGACTGTTTGGCTTTCATGTCAGCTCACTTGTATTCTCTGTTTATATGCCAAAATCTCACTCACTGTTTGGCTAAACAGTGATCCAAGTTTAGGACCTAAACCGTTGGGCTGCCTGGTAGGCAAAATCCTCATACGTTGACATTCTTTTAGTACCAAAGGAATTCAGTCCCATGGCCATGGGTTCAAGTGGCAGTGTACTTTTCCAAATGCCACTCTGTAACCATCAATGCCTTAGCAATTCCTAATGCTGACCTGTACTCAATCTGATATATCAAGCCTTAAGAAATAAAACTTTAATGAGTAGAGCCTTTGGGATGCAAGCCTCTTAAGGCTCTTTTCATGAAGATCTCAGTTCATTACAGAAATCATTGCTTTATTTTTGTAATGGAACTCTCCATTGTCTCTAACTATCCCATTGCACAGCCTCTGTTCCACAACAACCAAAAGCTGATTTCTTAGATTCTGATAACATATGTTCACATTATTTGTTACAACAGCCCGTCACACCCTCTGCTAAAACTTGGCTCACACTTTGAAAAATTCCTTTGTTGCAAATGGACAAACTCACCATACCAAGGCCCTTGTGTTGAGCTTTGTTTATGTTGTATACCTGGCAACAGAGATGATGTTCTTGTTCATTATTCATGGAAAAAGAGCCTCATTAGTGGCAGGACACATCTTATTGCTGAGATGCCTCGTTAGGGGTTTTGAGTTCAGCAGTTGTCAATAGAGTACAGATGACCTAACACCGACTGAATTCTGAAGGGAGCTTTGGTGCTGACATGGCTCAGGCCTGTATCATTTACAGTAGAAATATAATGAAGTGGCTGCTGAAGTTACTGTTCTTGAGATTGTGGAAAAACACGCCTCTTGTTTCTCACCTCATATCATGAAATGGAGTCTTTCAAGTTCATCCCTGCTGCTTTTCCTGGAGACGTCTACTGAGCTGCTGCTTCCTTATCTGGCTCTGGGCAAAGAAGTGGGTGCTTTAGAGGTCTTGGAGGACAGACAGCTGTTAGGGCATCCTGTTCTTCACCCTGGTTCAGATGTCTAATCTGTGAGATGCTGGAGACAGCACTTAGAATCCCAGCCCCTTCATCCCTCTCTGTAGAGCCGCACCCAAAACAGCAGGATTATATGTCATTCTTGCCAATTGGAATGCTCTGGTTGGGTAGCTGTTTTTTGGATGGGTTATAGGTACAGCAGCCCTTTTTTTTAATTACATTTGCTAGGTGGCTGAGTTTTTTAAGTAGTATGCTGGGAACGCAGTGGGATTAGTTCTGCTTTTCTGACCTTTGTAAAAAGATTTAGTTAAATGGCAAGGTACTGGGGCCAGGGATTGGGGTGGTGAAGAATATATTTTGGGGGAAAGAAGGGAGGCAAAATATATTCCCCTTGTCTCATTGTTCTTTACCACCTTAAAAAAAACTTTGGCTTTGAGTTTGGAAATCAGTGGCAATCATATACTCCTGTGTCCCCACGAGGATTACCAGTTGATTGGTCAGACTCCTTGTAGTCTGTAGTCTGATTTTGATTTTGCCATTGAGATAACTTCTAATGTTTTATTATTCCAGGTGTTACTCTAAAATACTGTTTGCTATCCTCAGGAGTTTTCATACTCTTGTATTTGCAATTTGTGAATCAACAGTATAGGTGAGCAATTTTATTCCAGGTGGCTGGTCCTGGTTCTATAATGTTCTTCACGCAGTGACTAAAATAACAGCAGCAACAGCTAGCATTTATTGAGTTCTTATAATGTGTCAGCATCAGACATGATTTGAACCACAAGCATATTTGGTAGATGCTATTGTTAGCCCCATTTTGCAGATATGGTAACTGGTACAAAAAGAAGGTAATCAACTTGCTCACAGGAAGAGCCTGTAATAGCAAAGTCAAGTCATATGGGTTTTATGTTATGAGAGAAAAGTGATCGACTGAGAACAACTTTATTAAATATGATGTGAATTCTACAAGGAAAGGAAAGCCAGAATTAAAACCAAGGTCATCCGACTCCAAACCCATGCTTTTAACCACCACACTTACACGTTCCTTCTGCTCTTGGAAGTATTTATTTGTTTTTATTAATACCATTGTTCTTCTTGTTGTTATTAGCCACACTTTATTGAGAACCTACCCTGTGCCAAGCATGTTATTAGCTTGGAATTAGCTTTACCCTTACAATAACCCTGCAAGGAAGGTTAACCATTTTAGCAGATGCAGAAACTGAGGCTTTGTGAGATTAAATAACTCACAAGACCACATTCTTAGAAAACTGCAGAGCTGGGATTCAAATCCAGATCCAGCTGGCTCTAAATCCCATGTGTTTTCCATAAATGTAAGCCTTCCAAAAGTGATGTGCTGGGCCTCTCTCACTCCTTTTACAAAGGTATGAATTAGGTGGGCTGAAGCCATGGTGCAGAATTTTGATGATGCCACATTGTCTTTTAAAATTTCTTTCTAATCATTCTTTAAGAACTGAGTGTATCATTATTTGCTTGTCTTTCTGAAACTATCTTCAAAATATGGCTTCCCATCTTCAATCAACTTGTATCTGATTTTTTTTTAATCACAAAGGGGATTTGATGTAAGGTGTTCATTTAATTTGAGATTTATCTTTTTCTTCAGTCATATATTTATTATAAAGACAGCAATGTTTTCAAGATCATTAAGTCATGAGAACCTTCTTTTAGAAACCATTGCAAAAGTTGTTACAAGCTTTGGATTGCCTTTCAAAGAAGTTTATAGGCCACCTAGGTTGAAAATTTAAGTCCCAAAGATTAGGGTGGGAATGTGGAAAAGAATTTGTGTGTTTCTTATTCATTGTCGTTTGTGCATTTCAATTTTAGAAGAATCTCATAGAGCAAGTGAATGCAGGTATGAGTGCTGTAAGGTATGTTTGGGAGCATCTAGTTCTGCCTGTCTCTAGTTAGTGATCCTTGGGGATACCAGAAGGCAGTCATGGGTGGTGGGGAAGAGGTGGATCAGGTCCCAGCTCTGCGTTTCACCA